AATCGTAAATAAATTTTGCGCGCGCTAATTCAAACGAAGTACAATATTCGCGCCATTTTTTAAATTAGAAAGTAACGAACTACTTTTTTTATTCTTGTTTGAATTTTATTTCGTGTAATATGTAGGATAAAGTTGTTATTAATTTATTAAGTCTAAAGAGATACATATAGTCAAGAAGATTGTATTGATTATATTTTTATAGGTATGAAATATTTCATGATATTGATTTAAATAAATTTCAATTGATAATAAAATTCTATTGTAGGTTCGTATATAAACATTAAGGACGGATGTAATAATTTCAATCGTTATATCTTAGAAAAAAAGAGATTGTTTACGAATGGAAATAATATATATATTTTATAAATATAATAAATTATCATTATATTTGTCTATAGAAGAATTAATTTGAAAATATTAATACATTATATGTATGCACATAAGGAAAAATATATTATATAGGTTAGAATAGATTATATGTTGTAAGAAACAAATTTATATGTAAACACGTATATACATATGGATTAAATATTTCATTAGAATTTTAAATATTAAAGTCATTGAAATAGACAAACGAGAATAATAATTTAAATATATTAGTAAGTAAACGAATTATCTTAATAAAAAAAAATATAATCATTCAAAATAATACACAAACGAAAAGTAAGAATATTAATAATTATAATTTCTTTTCCAAATTCTATATATTATAAAAATTGAATCGTTTGTTCGTTCGTTCGTTCGATGATCTCAAAAATATAAGTATACTAGAAAGAGAAAGAAAAAGGAAGTAAGGAAAGAAAGAAAGAAATAAAGGAAGAAAGAGAAGTGGTAAGGGAAGAAGGAGCAAAGCCACGTGGCATCCTTAAGCCGGGAAGCGTTACGAACCTTTTCTCCGCGTGGTTGAGTCGTACTTGCGTGAATGAGAGAAAAAGAAAAAGAGAGATAGAAAAAGAATGAAAGAAATAATGAAAGAAAAACAGAGAGGAGAAACAGAAAGACAAAAAGAGAAATAGAAAAAGAATCTCCTGGGCAAATGTAAACAGAGAAAGAGAAAGCAGAAACACAAAAAGCTAAAGAGAACAAGAGATAGATAGATATGCACATATATATATATATATATATATATATATGTGCACATGCATATGGAGAGAGATAGGGATAGAATAAAGAGAGATGGAGATAAAAATCAGAAAAGAGAAATAGAAAAAAAAGAGAGAAAGGAAAGCATAGAGAGCGTCACGTTGCTTTACATTACCAGTTGAAATCTATACGCGATAAAGTGTGTTGTGTGTGTGTATCTGGAGTAAGATAGATGTATTGGTAGAAAGAAAATGAGAAAGGCGTCCTAAGCGAGCGAGCGAGCGAGCGAGAGAGAGAGAGAGAGAGAGAGAGAGAGAGAGAGAGAGAGAGAGAGAGAGAATGTGAGTGAGAAAGACGTGTTACTCGGTACAAACTACCGTGTCGACTTTTACATTACCTCGATATTTAAACGTAGGAGAGTCAGAAGTAGGTAGTAATAGTAGTACTGATGGTATGGTAGAAGAAGAAGAAGACAATCGAACGTCGCCGGCACCTGTCCCCGTGCTTTTAACTACTCTTCGCCGAGCACAGGAACCTAACCTCTCTGACCCATCGTAAGTGAGACAGGAAGAGTGAGAGAGATAGATGATAGAAAGAGAGTTTTGTGTATATATATATATAATATATACGCACGCACATCACTTTACTCGAGGTAGTAATAATGATAGCGCCGACGATATACTAGTAACTCTACGCACACACGCGACACGCACAATTTTTTACTACAAACACCTCGTCTATACATCTCGGACGTACGAAAATGTACTTTACGCGTGCGTTTAGTTCATACATGTAATTTTACGTGCATGTGTGCGTGTCAGTACGTGAGCGCGGCGACGAGCGAGCGCGCGCGCGCGCGCTCCCCCGTACTCACCACACCACTACTTTCACACACAAAGCACGGCGCGACACGCACGCACGCCCGCCCGCACGCATGCACGCACGCAACACGAACGCGTACGCGCGTTGCACCCTCAATTTGCGACGACGACGATGACGACGACAACTCGGGACTAATTTTTCTTTGTGTACATTTATATCTGTTTTATGCGTGTGTCTCTATTTAAGAGAAGAGCGTGCGTATGTTATGTATGTGTGTGTAATTCTTGTACTTTGTTTTTTGTTATATTCGTGTTAGATTTTCAACACCAACGCGGTAAAATGAAAACTCGTAACGATAATGACGACAGTTAATTGCAACGTAACGTTGACAACGTTTTTAATCGAAAAAAAAGCCGGTACTCGCAACTACGGCGAGCGTTGCCACGGACATTTCGGAGGACGTGCGCGTCGTTATCTTCGGCCGGGAGAGAACGTTCCTTTCTTCGGCTATTTACGGAACGGTATAAAGTGCAAGGGAAACTCGCGCGTAAGAGAATGAAAGAGAGTGGGAGAGAGAGTTAGAGAACACACCGGCACTCTGTCGGTAATTCAGAGATCAACGCTTTTCTCGTAAATCCGTGTGGTGCCATCTGTGAGATATTATTAGTATTGTTTTTTACTGACTTTATCTACCTTATCGGTGGTCCACTTATCGGTCGGTAATATGTCGGTAAGTTATCGGTAATATTCGCGATTGGTCAATCGTAGATATTTTCGGGATAATTCTTTGAGATAAAACATTAAATGGATAAATACTGTACATATGTGTTGTTCTTAGTTCCATTGAAAAACGGAAAGCAAAAGTTTCATCTTACTCTCTGAAGGATCTACCGTGCACTGTCGGTAACAAAGTTACCCTGAACTTACGAATTTTCTCGTTTGTAAAACTTACAAGGGCTCAATCAGACCTTCAAAACACTGACATTTAAAAAATTTTGCTTCTTTACGCATTTAGGAACACACTGTATACAAGCAATAAAACCCAATGGACAACCTTTTGTAAAGAAACAAAAGAAAAATGCATTCTTCACCTGCATTCTTATATACCATTCTTGAGTCTAACTCGAAGAGGGTTGAAAAGTTCTGAGTTTAAAACGAACAGGGTTGGGAAAATTTTAAGCTTAATATAAGGAAGATTAGCAATATGACTAGAGAAATATAATTAGGAATATAACGTGACATCATTGATTCGAGATTTTCTTTTATCTTCGCGCATTTTTCTATCCATCTATCTGTCTATCTTATTCTTGAAACATTTATCTGATATTTTATAAACGTTGTGGCAAATAGAGATTTAATAAATTATAGGAAATTAAGACCCGATATATAGATATATATTTTATTTGTATTATTATTTTTTAATTCGCGCGAAGACAATACAGAATAATATTAATGACTTTCTTCTTCTTCGAGCATATATTTGTAAATTCATTTATAACAACGCACGAGGAAGAACGTAACGAAACGAATGTTCGGAGTAGTAGAGATAAAGAGAAAGAGAAAGAAATGAGAGAAAGAATGGAAGAGAAAGAGAAAGAAAAAGAGAATGAAAAATGAGGGGGAAAAGAAAAAGAAAAAATATATATATAAAGAGAAAGAAAAGAAATGAAAGATACTAGATTGTAGAAAGAGAGAGAGAGAGAGAGAGAGAGAGAGAGAGAGAGAGAGAGAGAGAGAGAGAGGAAATGAAAGATAGTGGATTGTAGAGAGAGAGAGAGAGAGAGAGAGAGAAAGAAAGATAGTGCGCTTAGTGAGAGCCGGTGAGAGAAAGATAAGAATAGTACGTTTCAGTGAGAGAGAAAGAGAGAGAGAGAAAGATAAAGATAGAACATTTCAAAGAGAAAAAGAGAAAAAGAGAGAGAAAAGGAAAGATAGTACACGTCTTAGAGAGAAATAAAAAGAAAGAAAAAAGAGAGAGAGAGAGAGAGGGAAAGAGAGGGGAGGAGAGAGTAAGAAAGAGAGAGAGAGAGATAGTACGTATTAAGCGGAAGGCGGTCGATGGGCGGACACTGGGTAGATAAATAGATGTTGGAAGAAGCAAAATGGAAGAAGAAGAAGGAGAAGAAGAAGGAGAAGAAGAAGAAGAAGAAGAAGACGATGAGCAGGAGGGAAGAAGAAGAAGAAGAAGAAGTAGCAGCAGCAAAGCAACCATGTACACTGGATAAAAAGGTCGCAGTTAGCGCACGCGCACTTGTGCGTACTCTTAAGAGCACAAGAAAAAATAAAATAAAAAAGATTAGTAGATGAGAGAGAGAAGAGTCGAGAGGTGGAACAAAAAGAGAGAAGAAAGAGATCAATTTTTGATTTATCATGGTGCAAAATGTCGATCCGTAGGGTAAACGTGAAATCAAAATTACCGCGCTTCTAGAACCTCGTATATATACACGTAAGAACGGGTGGGCGAGAAAACGGAGTGGGGATATTCTACGGTGACGCGAAGCTTACCCCTCTCGTGAAATTTCTCAGAGATGAAATAATTATATAAACGAAATAAAAAAGAAATATAAAAGAAATATATAAATTCAATCTCAAAAAAAATGTAAAAAGTAAGAACGAAAAAGAAGAAACGAATAAAAAGTAAATAGAAACGACAATTTTCAATCGATTTACATGTTAACATTACGAGACTTATCCTACGGTGTTTAGATAATAATTATTTTAGCGAATTTTTCGAGAAGAAACGAATAAAAAATAATAATTGCATATTCGCGCGCGTAAGGAGGGAAGATATCTTACGGTGTTACGAGATTATACTCCGTGAATCTCTCGAGGAGGAACGATTTAAAACAAAAGAAGAATATGAGAAAGAAAAAAAGAACAAGAAGAAGTGATAAGATAAAAATGCGAGAATTTTGGGATCTTCGTCATCGATATTATCGTTCATTCTTATCGTATATATATATATATATATATATATGTGTGTATATCCATCCAGATATCATTCATCATCTCAGACTCGATTTTTATTGAATTTTTCTTTTGTTATACGTGTGTATATATATATTGTTATTATTTTTCATTTTCTTTCCACTAACCTGTAGTTCTGCTTGAGATACATCGATCTCTCCTCTGTAGACAAATTCTATGATGAATTTGAGATCGCTGAAGCATACGTCCTGTGGCATGATGATAGTTGGATGTTTACATGGATTTGAGAGTAAGAGTTTCTGAAAGTAGGAACTGCAGGCCGATAGGACTACCTGTACAAATATAATAGAAATATTAAAGTAACATTTTATTAATAAAACAAACAGAGAGAAAATAATAGAATCATATTGTCTATAAAGAGATTACTAAATAATATATAGATACATTGCAAAATTAAGTACGTAAGTATGCGCACGCGTATAAGAATAAGATAAAAAAAAGAAAATATAATATATTAAATGAATGATAATGCTAAATTTTTCTCTTAATTAATCTACTATCACAGTTACTGGCACATGTACGTATACATAATACATACATACTTAAGATTGTGACTTGTCATTTTAAAGTTACACGGTATAAGATAAAGACAAACGTAAAAAAAAAGGTTTCACGGTAAAAAAGAAAAGAATAATTTCAATGATGATCTTTCTCTCACTCAGATTTTCTCACTTATTCTTTAAACATTTACCTTGTGTGCCTTCAACGAAGCTTCGTTACATGCCAGGGTGACGTCTACGAAGGCCTCGTTTTGCAGGAGTTGATGGAAAACGGATGTCATGTTGGATTGGTAGTTGTTCCAACGTAGGCAGTAGTGCTGCCCAGCCATTCCGCCGCTATAAAACATACACATACACGTACATATATATAATACATACATAAAAAAACTTCACATCAATTCACAATCTATACGCATAAATCATAACTCATAATATGTTTGGTAATTATAACATTCGATTAAATTTATTTAAGATTTCTACGATAATATTAATGCAATCAAATAAATCGCAAATGATTTAATTAGTTTTCATTTTTGTTTCGAATCTAATTGTTTCACACCGAAATAATTATTTTCACGTGTTTATAATAATAATAATAATAATAATAATAATAATAATATAGGATAAAAATATTTTTTGAGACACTTTTGTTTAAAATATCATTTTGCGCGGGCATATTTGAACACACTTGTAATAAAAAATAAAAAAAAAAACACTTCTTTCATTAGTCCGTCGTCGTCATCGTCTTTTATCCGCGCGCGCCAAATTTGAATACGGCAAAAAAGAAGAAGAGATTTTTAATGAAACGGTATAAAAGAAAAAAAAAAAAAGAAAGAAAACAAATTACTTTCATTTGTCATTCTCTCTTCCTTCTTCCGTCTCCAAAATTATGGTCGTCGATCACTGATTTTTCCGATACTCGCATTGGCGGCGTTAGCGAATAAAAAGAAAGAAAAGAAAGAATGAAAGAAAGAAGAGAGACAGAGAGAGAGAACCATTTGTAACTATCCGTTCAAAAAGAGAATAGAGAAAAAAAGAAAGAAAGAGAGAGAGAGAGAGAGAGATGATGATCGATCCATACTCGGTCTTTTTCGTACCTGTAATGTACGCCCCAATAATGATCTGTATCCATGAATATATCCCTTCTATTTTTCTTTCTTTATCTTCTTGTTTTTCCTTAGTACCGAGGGGGCTAGGGGAGGGGGATGAGAGAGGGGGATGAGAGATTTCTTATAAATAAAAAAAATAATAGAAACAAAAAAAAAGGAATAAAAAAACACCCCCGGCCCCCCCCCCCAACACTATAAGATTTCTCGTCTTCCTTTCGATAATTCGATACCAACCAATACAACGACGAATCGAAAAATGATTTTTCACTGAATCATGATGAAACACTAAATGAATAATAGAATTGAGAAATGAAGAGGGGGGTTGGGGTTAGGGGTGAGGGGTGAAAATAGAAAAATAGAAAGAGAGAAATAGAGTATAAAATAACTAAAAGTATTCTCTCGGGTCTCCTTTGTAGAAATGACAGGTAAGAGAGAACGATGGTGTGTGTGTGTGTGTGTGCGTGTGGGAGTGAGAGAGAGAAAAATAAAATGGCGATGGACGACGGTCCGACGAACGCGAAAATAACGAGTCGAAGAGAGGAAGAGTTCGGGCGTTGGTCTGTCGTCGTCCCCCACGACATTCACCTGTTCCGTTGGACCGTGTGCTTTATCTACCTCTATCTATCTGACTCTTTATACGGGCCATTCCGACCGTTATCTGTCCGTAGGAACATGGACTTTTATCAGTTGCTTAGACGTGCGCCGATAACGTCGAAACTTTAAGCTACCTTCTTCTTTTCTCTCTTTTTCTCATTATTTATTTCTATCATTTTCTATCATTCTTATTTCCTCTCTATCTGTATTACTTCATTTTTCTTTAATTATCTTCCTTTTTTTTTCTTCTTTTCTTTTTTGTCCCCCCACCCCCACCCCTTCTATTTATATATATATATAGGAACGAATGGAAAGATGTAAAACTTAGAGTGGACGACAAGAGGAGACAAGAGGAGAAATAAAAATAATAAAGGATATATAAGATAGAAATGAAGAAAAGTGTTGAAAGGAAAGAAAAAGATTGGAGGATGAAAGACCGTTAAGAGAAAAAAATATGCAAAGTGGAGGAAAGGATTGCAAAGATGAGTGCAACTTAATAGAAGAATTGATAGAAGGGGGAAAAAAAAAGAGAAAAGAAAAAGAAACTACGTGTGAAGATATAAGTAAGGACAAGCAAACAAGAAAAAACAAACGAATAAAAAAAATAGATTTTTATTTATTCGTGTACGAAATGTAACAAATGTAATTTATTATTATTATAAATTATAATAAATATTATATTAATACCATTGCAAAAAAATAGCCCCTTTCCCATCACCTTGGAAAAGATCCCGCAAAAATCGTAAATACTTTTAATATCGATAAATTTAAAATTTCAAATATAAAATAATGTTATGAACAAATGAAAAACAATGCGGAAAGAAGAAGAAGAAGAAGAAGAAAGAATAAAAGATAGAAATATAGAAAAATGGTAGCAATAGGTGGAAGAGGATTGAAGAATATTTTCTAAGGGTTGATCGAATAGAAGAAGAGAAAGAAGAAGAAGAAGAAGAAGGGTGTCGTAAAAAGTTTTCGACTAAAATAGCAGGTATACTCGTAAAAGGGAAAACGAGAGAAGCAGCACCAGGTGTACTTTGCCAATGTGTACTACCTGCGAATGAAAGGAGCAAGTAGTAGACAAGGCAGGTGTACCTGAGGATCTCAGAATTTCTTGTGTGAATATTAACATTGGTAAAGGGATAAGAAAAAGAAGAAGGGTATAATATAAACAATAATAACGATGGATATTCAATTGTTGGATTTTTCAAATGAAAATTTGAAATAAACTTTATCAACCCTATCAACCCTTCTACTAATTATTATTGATATATATAATATATATATATATATTCAATCATTTTATTTTTTTGTTAGAAAAAACATTGATCAAAAATATTTCCAAAATATTAATAGAAATAGTAGAAATAATTCTTTCTTTATTTCCTTCTTTTTTTTCTTTTATTCGCGTACACTTTAACAAATCTTTTTCTCAAAATTCTTAGCCTTCGACTTGTTTTTAAGCCACTCTCGCGTACAACGAAATCAGGTGGATAATCAACGATAATCGATTAAGATCGTTTAAGAAATATGCTATTGGTGCTGCGAAGAAAAGATTCGATTTTCTGACAGATTAATAATTTTTTTTTTTTTTTACCAACCGATCGATTATATTACAACTTAACGATCACGATCAACGGACGCTCATTTAATTATCTTATATTATTTATACATTCATATAGATTTTTTCATTTTCCACGTAGGTAGGTATCATCCTTTCAAATATTCAATCCATTAACACAATTTAACACATTTTGCGAATAAAAAAAAAGAAGAAAAAGAAATGAAAAATTAAAAAAATAATTAAATATAATAAATGCATATAAAACATATAAATATTATAAAATATATATAGAATATAGAAATAAAAAGTGACATTAATAATAATATAATCGAAAATCAAATCGATCCAATAACGAGAAAAATAAAAATGTAAAAAAAAAGAACAAATGAAGAAGAAAAAGATAGAAAAATGTGCGAACGAAATAACAAATAATATATGCAACACAGCAACAACAACAACAAACATACTGTTACATATTTACATCCCTCTTCTTCTTTTTTTTTTTTTGACTAACCCTTCACAGCTTCCAATGAGAATAATATACCCTGTGTACCATACATACATAAATTTGCAGGGGGACTATGTGATCTATAGAAAAACACACATGCACACACATTGATATCTTGAAATTGGGTTACTCATGACACAGATGATGCTCAAAGGCAGCCTGATAATGCGCGATAACGAGAAAGAAATGGCGATCAATCGATTACCGTTCTTTCATCCATCTATGTATATATATATATATACATATGTAGTAGGTATATGTGTAGGTATAGATTTATATCAATGTAAAGGTATTTTGTTTTTTCCATCCTTTATGTACCTGGTCGTAATCGCTACTACGTGGTTGGAAGAAGTATATAGAAGGACGGATAGATAATGCTATCGTTTTTAAAAGTAATCGATATCTCGATCGTACACGTAGGTTGTGTGCTCGATCGTTGTTTCGTTAACTCTTTTTCTTTGTATTTCTTTTCCTTTTCCTTTTCTTTTTCTATTTCTTTTTCTTTGGTTTTTTTTTTTTATTTTACTTTTTTCTCATTTATTTTTTATTTCTTTTTCCAAGCACTCTCTTCAAGGTCTTTCGCGATAGTGAAAAACGACGACGAGTAATATGTTCATCGTAGATGATAATAGGGAGGGTGGGGTGGGGAATAATGAAATTCTAATGGAAAATAATATTTAATGTATTTGTTGGGTGTGATGATGATCCTATGTGTATTTGATCGCGGACAAAATATATTTTTAATTAGATAATATTAATAAAAATTATTTGATAGTTATTAGTTGTATTTTAAAGAGAAATTTCCTGAGTTATTTTATAAATATGATTTTAGAAGATAAATCATTTTGTAATAATTCAATGAAATGAGATGGAGAAATAAACGTTTAGGATACGAAAGTTGATTTGTATAAATATTGAAATTAATTATTACTATTATAACATATATAATTATATAAAGACATTATATTTTAAGAAAAGAAAAATAAAAATAAAATTAAAATTAGAAAGAGAAAGATCTCGTAATAAAAAAAAAAAAGAAAAAAAAAATAGAAAAACGAAAAGAAATATGAAGTGTGTTGTTATAATAAATCGTAAAAGATCGTTGAACCGTGAAATAAAAAAATATTCGCGTTCTCGTTCGATCTACCATTAACGCGGCGTATAGAGAGGAACGATTCAAGGAAAACAATTAAGTGAAAGAAGGAAAGAACGTACAATTAAAGCGACGACGAGGAGAGAACGAAGAGAAAACCGGATGTAACAAGACTCGAGAAGAAACGGAGTGAGACCGGACACGGAACGTATCAACTATTTGCTATCTCTCTCTTTCTCTCTCTCCCACAAATTCCTTTATCGTATTTAAATTCGTATTAAACATATGTATTTTGAATAATTACGAGTTTAGATTCGTAATGTTTCATGTAATAAAAGATATGAATATGATTTTTTTTTTTATATTCATATATATTTTTCTTATTAATATATTAGAAAATAAGTAAAAGTATTTTTGGTAGTATTTACATTTACTACTACTACTACTTACTTTACATATATATAAAATGAT